TGGAGCTTCAGCATGTGACGTCCTTGCACACCAGAGAGGACGGTGGCCATCTTCTTCATTTGAAATAATGCCATTTTAACATGCTGTTTCTTTATGGATTTATGTAAGTGCAATACTTCTAATCAATGGAGTTTTTATAATTTACTACACTATGGGATGTTTTTCTCTCTCTCTATGACCTGTCTATTTGGTAGAGTTTTTGCTGCATATCAACAAACCAATCTGGAAAGTAAATCAAGAGGTGTAAGCTGAAAGAATTGGATCTGTCTGGCATCTGGCCCAAACTTTTGAGCCTAACTGCGCTATTTGACCGCTTTATTTTTAGAGGTCATGGATATTTGGTGGCTTGACTTACATCACTTACCACTCATTGCCCTTCATGAGAACTGTGTATGAACTGGATGAGATCTATTCCAATAATTGCAAACCTCTTCTCACTCTGGTGTGGTTGAATTGGACTTCATTATATGTTTAATTTTGGTTGTATTAGCGCTGCACCTTGTTTCCCTTTTATCAGTTTAATTTTTTGCCTGCAAAGCTAGCTGCTCGTATTCATATATTTACCTATCTATATATTGTGCCTTAGCGAGAGTACTTATCTAATTTCTTTGAGTAAGAACAGAGATCTAATGCAGCCACCACATCTAAGGACTGGCACGCTACAAAAAACATTTTTTTAGTTTCAGTTTAGATACACATGAAATGTTAATGAAAGCAGATATATTCAAGAATGCTGATAGTGAAGTCTAATTTCTTCTAAGGTTGGACAATTTGAATATGGTGTTATGGTGACCTAATTCATCAAATAAGCGGAAGACTACTGTCTCATTTTTGCCCTCTTTTCATGCTAGGTTGTTATCATATGTTAAAATTTAAAACACTAATTTGTGAGTGTGATTTGCATACAGATGTATGAGTTTGCAATTTAGTGAAAACACCACAAGATGATTCTCTGTGGTGCTGCCAAATTCTGTCTGTAGTAATATATTAATATATAAATATTTTTTTCCATTCTTGATGACCTTCCTGTCCAGTCAATGATGCTCGTGGTACTGCTATGTAAAAAAATAAATAAAGACAAAAAATACCCTATGTATGTAGCAAAATACACCTTCCTCAAAGAATGTATTTGGACACCTTTTTAAGAAGTGTATACAGGTCCAAAAAACATAGTATATATGACATATCTTAAGGCAACAGCTGAAAGTCCAGAATATTCACAACTTTTACTTTGTAGAGAACCTCTGCTTTTTCTTTTGTTGAATAGAGAGGTAAATCGTTCTCAATCCATCTTGTTTTTTTTAAAAGAATTAAAGCACAAAAAACAGGATATTGCGCTAAACCTGTTGGTAAATAAGAGAAGTAGAATCTTCGCTAAGTGGAAGAGTGGAATTGATAATAAAGTTGGCAGCACCTCCACCCAGGAGAGGGCATTTGTGATGAAGATTTTCTTTTTACACTGATTGCTTTTACACCCATAAAGGCTGTAAAAGCAATCATTTCTCCTTCTCTCTGGCTGCATTCTTGCAGCCATTGAGAACTACTGACTGAGCTGTGATTGGTCACAGCTTGTCACATGGTACAAGGCTGTTGTGAATAGCCTTGTACCATGTGATCTCTGTGATCATTCACAGATTTCACACGTAGTAAGCAATGATGTCAGAAGTGACATCTTTCTTACACCTATTCATGTGATCACTGATTGGCCAATCAGTGATCACATGATCGGGACCTCACACAGAGGTCCCATACAGCGATCGGTGTTCCACTGTGTCCTTTTGACACAGCGGGCACCAGATCGCGGTGCTGCGTGCTCCCAGGGAGCAGGCACAGTCCAAAATGGCGGGTGCCATTTATGAATGGCAACCCGCCCCTGCACTGCCACCGTCTGGCTGTTTATATACAACGGCTGGACGGGAAGTGGTTAACAGGACTTATGCTCTGCATTATGTGTGTTCTGTTACAGAACCTTATTTATTTGAATGGGTTTCCTAATGCACCAAAAATGTCCATTCACTATATTTAGCGAAGCAGCGCACCAAAATGGGTGACAGTGCATTTCCATGCCTTGGTTATGCGCTGGAATGTAGGAGTTTAGAGAGGTCTATTGCTGTGCCACAGAACATCCATCTGCACGTGTGTTGCCATGTGATGCAGAAAAGTGTGCAGTAATATGTGTGGAAATGCAATTTAACCGTTTGAAGGTGACCTGAGCTTTTCCGCTTCAGTAATATTTTGCAGACTTAAAATCAATAATTGAAAGAGCAAAATTGGTTTGGTTAAAATCACACCACCCATTTCACACATTCTTTTCCCCTTTCAGCTACTAATCTTACATGTATGGACAGTGCAAACAGCAAACCCCAAATGAAGTGCCCTAATTAATCAATAGAAATCAATCTTGTACGGGAATTCCTATTGGTCACTTTGCTCCTGCACACTTCATTGAATAAGTCCATTAGCATCTTGTAATATAGATTTTTTTTTTTCCCGGTTTATTTTCAAGTATTTGTGTTATAATGGGGTTAAGAACTCATATAAAAGTATTTACTCTTGCTTTGCTGACTTTCTGAAATCACCGCACATGAAGCAAGTTTATGCCTTTCTAACGGCCTTTTCAATAAATTTTATGTATGCCGAAATAAGAAATATTTTTTATGCTCATGAAACTTTTATTACAAGAAAAATGATTTTCTGCAACAGTCCAAGGTGGCTGAATTAGGCTGATGCTTTTAAGATTCTTCAGCCTGAAAGCCATGGGTCGGTTTAATTTGCCGCTTTGCTGTAAGAAACAGCACTTTAAGATGTAAAGTAAAGTTTGCAGTCACGGACTTGCTGTTCATTAACTGCTGAGGCCATGAAAATGGAGCTCATCTTTTGCACATGATGCCACTGTAATCTGTCTTGTGGGAGAAGCAATTTCAGTGCAATGTTCCTTAAAATATTGCACGGCCTGTTAGATACAATAAAAATGGACAAATATACAACATAATGGTCAACATTACACTCTTGTTTCATTTCTTTCTGTCCTCGGGCAATATGTTTCAACTCATCTATGCCTGAGGGGTTTTTTTTCATGGTGAGAAGACTAAAAGAGAAAAATGTTCGACAATTTACTTACATTCTTAATACAGAACCCAACAATTTGTATATTTGTTAGATTTGCTGGTAGTTTAAAGAATAACCCCAAACATCTAACACACGGAGTAATAAAATGAATGGCGGTACAATATTCACTTTTGTATATGGTACCTTGTTATAGTTTTGCATGCTCTACTTATTTAGGATACCGCGGAAGACTTTTGTAGTATAGGTTAGTAGCCAGGTTGCCTCTCCATATAAAAGTCTACAGGTGATTGCTGCATATTTGCCACAATGCATTTGCCTAATTATAAAGCAGGCTGGCTGGTAAGACTTGACTGCATATTTACCATCATCTGTTCTTTATTAGTAAATTGTACTTCATAATCCTCTTCCAACACCATCTCATTGTGCCACAAAATTTGCAACATACAGCAACACACTATGGCGCATGAGTGTGTTGTGTGACACAAATGTGTTTTGCTTTATGCATTAGAGTGCTATACAAGATGAGTGGCAATGCAATGCCGCAACAAATGTAACATGCTTTGCTGTGTATTACAGTGACGCGTTTATTACCTCATCTCCCAGGTCTAAAGGAGCCCTACTGTTCACAAAGTACCTTGAAGATTGATGCAGGTATGACTTAAAGTGATTCTAAAGGTTGTAATTTAAAAAAAAATAACAAACATGTCATACTTACCTGCTCTGTGCAATAGTTTTGCACAGAGCAGACCCAATCCTCCTCTTCTCGGGTCCCCGCTGATGCTTCTGGCTCCTCTCCCCTGCTGAGTGCCCCCATAGCAAGCCTCTTGCTATGGGGGCACCTGTGTGTGTTCACTCCTTAGCTGGTTCTGTGTGTCCATTGACAATCGCTAGTTGTGATTTAAATTGGTTGCCATTGGCTTCCGCTGCTGTCTCAATGAGGAGTCCAATGAGGAGAGAGAGAGACGAGAGAACCGCAGCTCTCATGCACAATGTTGGATCGGGATGGGACTCAAGTAAGTATAAGGGGGGAGGGGCTGGGGGCTCCATACAGAAGGTTTTATACCTTAAGACATTTGAATTGTCTCTGTATACATACCCTTCCCTGACTCTACAATTAAGCTCCAGGGCAAAACATTTCAGAAGAAGGCAACCTGTGGAATATTTCTGTCAGCTTGTTTTCAAAGTTGTGGAAGGATTACGGACTTGTGGAGTGTGGCTTGATATTTTTTTTTTACAAGTAGTAGGACTTGCAGTACTATTCGCCCTAATTTTATTAAAGTGAATATCACCTTCACTGACCAAATACATTTATTGTGTACAGATTGAAGTTGTGAATAATTTAATTTTACAATCAAAATGCAATGATTATCCAATAGTGACTAACCGTGATCAGTCTGGAATCCTCGGCAATTCAGGGTGGCTTTAGGAAACCCCCCCCCCCCCCCCCCCACCCCCACCTCCCAAAAAAGTATACTTCCCATAGTACTGTGCCTGATGCTGAAAGGCAGCAGGGTTTTTTACACCCTGAGTAATGCTTCACTCACCACATTAATTATTGCACTATAAATGGTGTTAGTTTCCTGCACCTTTAAAGCTATTTTCCTTCATGGCCAAGGAGCCAATTCAATAAGGCAGAGATGGCACCTCAACTGTCCCCTCATGCCAGCACACCCTATTGGGTTACAGTGGTTATCATCAGTTAATAGTGCTTTGGGAAGGATTCCCTTTTAATATCAGTTTCCATATACCATTACTGTGGTACAGATGTTCCAAGTTGCTATAGAACATAACGTTCATTAAATGAGATGTTATACTGTATATATGCAATGCTGCCTATGTGCTACTGAAGGACCATATCATTTATACTAAGGCATGAAGGTGCCATGGTTTCATGGACCATGTTACTGAAGTGTACTATTATTGTATACTGTTCTGCTGAGCAGGGGCGGACTGACCATTTGGAAACTCGGGCACTGCCCAAGGGCCTGGGGTCAGTAGGGGGCCCCATGAGATGCCCCTGGTACCTTTTTCATAGGCTTTTTTGAGTTTGGGCAAGGACACAGGGTCCCCATGATCCCCTATTGCCCGGGGGCCCCATGAGTTGTCAGTCCGCCCCTGCTGCTGAGGTTTCGTGTTTTCATATCTGAATTTATTTAGTTGTCATGTAGTGTTTGTAGTGTTTTCTCTAGCCATCACACTAATGTACTGTGAGCTGTAATAATTTTAGAAGGGGTTCGCTGAGACCAAAACTTTATCTCAAAGATTCTTTTGTATTCAAATGGTTGAAAAAGGCTGCCCTAGAGTGTTTAGACACATCTGTTAGTAGGGCCAAGTGTTTTGGGGGCAAAAAAGTGCAATCCTCCCTATCTCAGCCTGTTTTGACCACCTTCAGAGATCAGAACAGAGGACTATAAACTTTTCAGACAAGTCTTTGGTAATCTCGAAAGCATGGATGCAATTTTCTGGGACCCACCTATTAGGAGTGTTCCCAGAATATACAGAGGTCTTCATGAGTTGTACTGAGAATGGGTATGCTAGCATAAAAATTAGACTTTTTCCCCTTTTCCAACCACCTATCACTTGTGATCCCCTTACCCCTCTTTTATTGTCATTAGAATTTATGTATATCGCTATTTGTAAAGCAAACCCTTATTTGGAGATCCAGTTGTCTTAATTAGAACCAAGGCACCTACAACAGAACACACTCTACACTACCCACAGAGTTATGGTTACATTTCAATCATTCTAAACCAGCATCTTTCTACTTATATTTGCAAGATTTTATTATAACCCTTATGCAGAGCCATGGATAAGAGAGTACCACCTGTCCTCCTGCATGGGACCCAGGCAACTAGGTGAATTGGATGTGGGCAGGGAGGGTAATCAGCACAGCATGGGAGGGCAATTACTGGAACTGATCCCCTGTATGACTCTTTGTGCAGCAGCTTAAAGCTGGCTTCTTCTCCTCACCCTCCCACTGGCTTTCAGCTATTGTAGGGAGAGCCATACAGGGGATTGGCTCCAGTAATTGCCCCCTACCACACCCATCTCCCTCCCTGTGCACCATACGTTTCCCCCTGCTGCCCAAGCCCCCCTTTGTGCTCCCACTCCACAGTGCTGCCAGCTTACCTCCTCTCCTTCCCACTGGCAGCTGCAAGCACACAATAGGATTTTTCAGGATGGAGAGTGGGGGAAGGGTCCTGTAAATATGTTACATTTACCAGCCCATTCCTTTTTTGAATGATCACAATGATTGATTGGTACTGATCACTCACTGTGTTCATTCATAACTGAAGCCTAGTAAACAAAGTTTTTTTCTGGGAGGGGGGCAGGGCCATGTCAGGTTGGCTGTATGGGGCCCTGTTGTTTCTAACAGCAGCCCTGCCCTTATGAAGAAAACAGTTATTGCAAAAAAATCCCTGTAAATAAAGCTTTAAACCTTTTTTAGACACGTTCCCATAAATAAAAAAAATGCCTACATTTAAAGGGACTAATGTTTTCTTCATGACAGCAGCGGTTGAAGTCGATCAAGTAATTTGAAATTAAAAGAAAAAAAAAAGTTAATTCATGCATTCCTGTGGGTTGATAAAGTACTGTGAAAAGGATCTGAGATTTAATGACGAGAACATTGTGTGCTGCATTTGAAAGCTTGCTTTCCAGACAGTTAGAGCTGTACCACTTACTTGTAGATGATTTACTTTCATCATCTTATAATCATCCTTCATGCTCGCTAAGCTACAATCGATCAGCCCTAGTGAGAGTCGACGTGAGTCATTTTCATCAAGGGAAACACCTTGCAGGATGTATGTGGAAAAGGGAAGAATTGTTGAAGACCAATTTTCTCAATCTGTTTCTCTGCTGGAGTGATAGTAATCTGTGAATTGTGATTGATATCACTGTCAGCTATATTTGAGATAATTTTTCCAATTTTCCTACTAGTCTAATTGCCTGCAGATGTGTGGGATGAGAACTGACAAACTGGAAATTGTAACCTTTAGTGTAAAATTAGAAGTAGTTTAGTGCGTGTGACGTTTTAAAAGCATTTCTATATGTCAGAATTATAAAGCTGCAGATATAGTACTTAAGAAATTAATCTCTCCACTGCAGACTAATCTCAATATCTTTTATGTATATGATATTAAAAAAGTGAAACATTTGAGGTTTTTATTGCAGAATTTAAAACTAACTTTATTGCTATGTACTTTATCCTCTGAATATGTTATGTATCTACAGTATTAGATCATTTTTAGAATTAGGAAATTCGTTAGATTAATTTAGGGCCCCTTCACATTCTTTATTATGGCACACTGCATTAAGACAACCTACTTATTTTCAATGCACAAAAAAATCAATGTAGTAAACCACATACAGGCGTACCTTGGTTTACGAACGCCTTGGTTAACGTAATTTTTGGTTTACAAATTTTTTTTACAATACAAAGTAAGTTTCCCCAGGATGCATTGCGCCTGGGAGGTTTATAGCGCCGGCCCCGTGTCTTTAAAGTGCACTTTATAAAGAGTTTTGAACAGATAAAGCTTATTTTGACTTTTTTCTGACCTCCAGAACGGATTAATTGGTTTTCAATGCATTTACAAATTTGTTTTTTAATCATGTCCCTGTACAGTATTTATGCCTTTAAAGTGCACTTTATAAAGAGTTTTGAACAGATAAAAGACTTTTTTTTTTAATTTTGTTTTGTGACCTCTGGAATGGATTAATTGGTTTTCAATGCATTCTTATGGAAAACCGTGTCGGTTTACGAAATTTTCACAATACGAAACGTCCCGGAGAACGCATTAAATTTGTAAACCAAGGTACACATGTAGAAAGCTATGTGCAATGTGGTGCACTGTGTTACAAGTACATTTGGTAGTTACCAGGGGCGGACTGACCATTCGAACACTCGGGCAGTGCCCGAGGGCCCAGGGTCAGTAGGGGACCCCATGAGATGCCCTTGGTACCTTTTTATAGGCTTTTTTGGGTGTGCTTTGAGTGTGGGAAAGGACACAAGGGCCCCATGATCCCCTATTGCCCGGGGGCCCCATGAGTTGTCAGTCCGACCCTGGTAGTTACTGTACATGTTGATTATGGTGCAATTCTAAATGAATGGCACCACAACACACATAGTACTCTGAGTTAATCTGCACTGTAGTAATGCTTAGTAAACTGCTTGTTTTATGACAAATTACTGTATAACATAGATACAGTATAAAAACCAGCCTTAAATATATTGTATAAAGAACAATGGTGTACACTAAACAAATGCAATGAGAAATTAGCTTTCTCCATTTCAGTGTGGGGCAGATTGATATAGATGATTTTTGATTGGTTGATGCAGTATTTTCAAGGTCCTACTTGTACTTGAACTGTATAGGGTCAACCTTAAATAAACCACTTTGCTCAGGAAAAACATATTGTAAACAATGGCATTGGGAGCTATAAGTGACAATTGTGCTAAATCAACAAAGCGCTGTTACCACTAGCAATCAATTAGAATTTTGCCTGCTGCCTGACCCACTGATTATTGCATTAGTGATGATAAATCGCCCACTAATAAATAACGTTCTGAAACCAATGCTTTTGTGGTGTTTTGGATTTGAGGCTCCTTCTGCACACCGTAATTCAATGTGTGCCCTTTATTTTAAGTTTTAGTTTAAGTGATCACTTTAAAGGAGAAGTAGGGCCAAAGCTTTTTTGGCCCTACTGCTCCTGGGGATCACAGGAGCGCACTTCATATTCAAGCTAAAAAATCAGGCTAAAACCCACTGTTGGGTGATGTGACTCAGCTGGTCCAGACTCTTGAGAGATCTCTACTTTAATGTCAGGGTCCACCTAGATGCCTGGACCTGCAGCTGCTCTCTGAAGACTGGGAACTGAACAAACAGGGGTGTTTGATCACTCAGTTCTTGGTGTAGAGGCAACGGGTGACAGATGCAGCCTCAGATCGATGCTACATCCACCTAGGTATGTATAAATGTTTGGGTTTTTTTAAACCCCAAACTTCTCTTTTAAGAATTACCACTTTTTTATGAATAAAGCCAAATATGAGCAATGACCTGAAGTCCATAACACTACAGAGCCCACCTTTTCACATTTAAGGGTATCACATTTAAGGATTTCATCATAACCTATAGTTATGGGTTATAGACAGATTTATCACTCATGAATAGCATTATGAATAACTGGATAATCAAGGGATGCCAAAGATGGCCAGATGTTTCACTGTGATCCACCAATGATGGAAATGTGCCCTTCCTTGCTTGCACTGGTTGATGTTCAGTTGATATACTGGTGTGAGACATATCCTGAGAAGATGTGGTTCCTTTTACCATGGAAAACATGTTGCAAGAACTGTGTTATAAAGAGTAGTGTTGGGCTTTATGTTCGACTTACGTTCGACTTGAACATTGGCCATTTGTGTGTTTGCTGAACACACAAATGGTGCAATGCTTTGGCCAATTACAGCAAATGATGATGTCACTGTGATGTCATCACAGTATTTAAGAACTGTCACGGCGCAGCTATCAGACGGCTAAAGCCAGCAACGAGAGAAGAACTTTTTTTTCTTTTTTTATCTACTTCAGGGGACATTTTTTTTCTTTTTGTTTTTATTAAAGGACTTGTCAAAGACTTTCTCCTGTCATTTTTACACTACACTTTATTTTTTGTGAATGGGTACTCATTCACATAGGAGGGAAGGATCTGGGGACCCCATGTTGAAGGGGGCTTCTAGTTTCTGATAAGCCCCCTGCCCACGGACCCCCTACAACCATCGGCCAGGGTTGTGGGAAGAGTCCCTTGTCCCCATCAACAAGGTGCTTTGGGCGGGGCCTCCCTACCCCAAAGCACCCCCCCCATGTTGAGGGCATGTGGCCTGGTATGGTTCCTGACCTTCTGGGCTGCATGCTCAGATAGGGGTCTGGTACAGATTTTGGGGGGTCCCCATGCCATTTATAAAACTTTTTTAGTGTGGGAGTTCCCCTCAAAATCCATACCAGACTTGAAGGGCTTGGTGTGGATGGGAATGGGGACCCCATTCAAAAAAAAGTTTTAAATGTCGGGCAATGTCAGCAATGTTTTTGACATTCAGCTGTCAGCGGAGAAAACCGCTGACAGCTTAAATATGACAGAATGTTTCACTACTAAAATACCGCATGACTTATTAATATAACT